AACGGCGTGTAAAGACTGTGGAGCGACCTTCGGGGGAAGTGAGCTGATTTTAAAGCACGCACAGCAGCGAATAAGTGACGCTGGCGAAAGTGAGTCTAATGACGAAGACATTTTCCACCAAATTGCAAGTTCACAGCCGCTGCCATTGCCACGGACAATTTCTGCTTCTGAAGCGGGTACGGTATCCCGCGCACTAGTGCGCTATCAGCATCACCACTGGTTCCACTCAAAGTCGTGCTTCAAAGTGACGAGGCGAACCCCAAAAGGTGACGTTTGTCGCATGTTCATACCCAAGGAGTCTTGTAAGGAGACTACGTGGACATCCGAAAATCGAATTGAGATGAAAAGGCAGCCTGGAAACGAGTACATTAACGCGTATATTCCCGTTATCAACGCACTCTTTAAGTGCAATCATGACATCAAGTTTTTGAGTGCTGGGGAAGGTGAGTATAATGTACTTAATCTACAAATCTTGGTTGTATTGCTAATTTGCTCTATGTGCTTTATCAGGACCTGAAAAAGCTTACTACACGATGAAGTACTCGACCAAGGACCAGAATGACATCGAAAACCCCTGGGTTTGCACTTAAACGCCTTTGATAAAGCTGATAACGGATTACCTGGCGAAAACAATGATGCCGCCATCGGACGGCGTCGGATCCAATCGATGTGCTGTACGTTGTCAAACCCGCACGAAGTTTCCGCTCCAATGGCATGTCTCTACCTCATCAGGGGCTCGGCGTTCTACTCATCACATAAGTTTGTGAAGATCCCCCTCACGTCCGTACTTGCGGTGATGTTTGAACAACATGGCGAACTGAGTGTTGTGCTTGAAGGTGACAGTACTGGAAAAAATTTCAAGCCGTCAAGCATTTGGCTTGACTACATTTCTCGGCCACTTGCATTGGAGGACCTGGACTTGATAACATTTGCAGCACGCTGGGAACGAAAGAAAAGCAAGAAGGGCATCAAATTTCTTCCGGATCATGCTCTCTTTGCTTCACACTCCTTATTCCAGTGTTCTGTTGAGAAGGTGGTTACTGTGTGTCAAAAGCGGCTGCCAGACATGAGGCGATCGGATCTGTCTCCTGAAGAACGACTGCGCTATCAGCGTTCGCTATTTGTTTTATTTCGCCCATTTCGAGCTCGAGGTGATTTTTCGACGGAAAAGCCAGCTTCACAGATATTTTTCATCACTGGTGGCAATCAGAAGCACCTTTAGCTGCGCGCGTGTTTGAAAAAAAATAATATGGATTACTACGCTTCTCGAGATCTGTTGCGGACGCAAGAAGACCCCGAAGTTGCTCGGTATGTCCGATACCGCGCTAATTCCGGTGGTGATGATGAGCTCAATGTTGAACCGGATGATGATACGTTTGAAAGCGACGATGAGTACGAACAAGACGTCATTGACAGTGAAAACGTTGGTGATTACGACACTTTGGACCCCCCAACACACCCCGCACAGAATATTGACATGCTAAATAAGTCGAATCCTGCTACCAATCTGGCGGCAATATCAACAACAACCAGTACCGCAGCAACGTCAATTAGTGCAACGGGGTTTTCTATGAGTGTTGACGACGTTGAAAAGTACATGCGGGATCTCAAAAAGTACACAAGGTCGGATTTACCTTCTGCAAACACGATATCTAGGCACCTCTCTGACGACTTCCCAGTTTTGGAAACGCGGGTCCAACTTCTCGAACGGGCTATTGAAAAATCAGCCAACCGAGCTCCAAGATCAACGGAATATCAAGATATTATTCAGCAATCTACTCAAGTTACGATGCCGTCGCTTGAATACGTGGTAGTCGCATATTCTCTGAATCGCAAGCAAGAAACAATGTTCGTTAGAATGGGCCACAAGCTACTTCAGTCTCTCATACTGCCTGAACAACCTGCACAGCAAGAAATTGCTTTTCTTGGTGGTCATCCTGGCGCTGGAAAAAGCAGAGTTATTGTTGCACTGCAGGCACTTGCAATTAAGTGGGATATGCCACAAGCCGTGGCGACTGCTTACCAGGGCGTCGCAGCACAGGCAGCGAACGGACAAACAATTCACAAATTGTTTGGATGGTACGTGAACAGTCGAAGGCAGTGGGCACCGACAAGTGAGCAAAAAGATCGATTTTCCAGGTTGAAATTACTGATTTTGGACGAGGTTTCTACATGTGATGTCAGCATTATTGGAAAGATCGATTCATCACTTCGGAAGTTATTGGACCGACCGAACGCAGTATTTGGGGGAGTGCATGTGCTACTTGTTGGGGACTGGCTACAACAACTACCTGTTGCTGGTCAGCCTGCTTTTATGTCTGCCGATGAGTTACTGGAATCACGGTCGCGACAGCAATCAAATACCTCAGATTATTTGGATCGTCTTCGAGGCATCAATGCATACAAAGCGTTAACTTCTGTGGTGATACTTACGGAGAATATGCGTCACCAACATGATCCTGTGTGGCGAACAATTCTCGATAAATGGAGAGTGGGAAACTATGATCAAAAGGACATCGATCTTGTCAATGATATTGCGTACAGCAAAAACTGGACGTCTTCTGCCGCATCATTGGAGTCATATTGCCCAATAATTGTTACTTCCAACGCTCTTAGAGTGGAGTTCAATTCCTCCACCCTACGATCATTTTGCCAGAAAAGTAACGTCCCATTACACCGTTTTCCAGCCACAGTGCGAAGACCACGACACCCTTTGACGAAGTTTCAGCGGAAGTCCCTTTGCAGTATTCGGGACGATAAAATAAGTGGAATGCCTATTAATTTGGAGATTGCACTGGGATTGACGGTACAATGCACAAAAAACGTGTCCACAACGTTTAAATTGGCAAATGGGTCAATTGGAACTGTCGTCGCCATAACCCCTTCGCAAGATGACGTCGTGCAAGTGCGAATTGCGAATGGTATTGAAGAACACTGTCACTCGTTGCCTCCAGATGTGGTGTTTGTGAAGTTGAAGGATTACGCTTCTCAGTCATTTGTGTCGACTTTACCACTTGGTGTCGTTCCTGTATGCAAAAGGACAGAATGTGGTGTCCTAATTCGGCTGCCAGATCGCTCATTCTCTATCTCAATTTGCCAAGTTTCTCTTGTGTTGGCGTACTCATTGACCACTGAGAAGTGCCAAGGACTGACAGTAGAGAAATGATTCTTGCTCCGCTTCGTCATCCGACTCGCAGGATTCCTCAGCGTTCATCTTTCTATGTCGCCGTCACTCGAGTGAAAACGTTATCGCAGTTGTATCTCATGCCCCCCCCCCTTACGAAAGCGTTTTTGGAGTATTTTACTCCAAGTCGTGATGCGCTGGCAGAAACCCAAAGACTTCATGCAATTGAGGATCGAACAGATTAAGAAACCATAATGCTGTGGAAAAATTGTTACAGGTCTTCTTTAAAATACAGTACTTTCTTAAGTTAGGGTACCAACTTGTTTTCAAGTTTTCGAAGTTCGGGGATAGCCACTCAAATGAATGACTATCATTCTCGCTCGGTTTGTTGATGTCTTCTTCTAGACTGGAAGTCTTAGTTAAATCGCAATTTCTTCTCCTTTTCTTCTTCTAAAAAGTCCTTCATTCCGCACTAGTTATTACTTTTTGAAAATACCGTAATATCCAGAGCTTCACCGGGCTTAGCACGGCATTAGTTTGCAAGTATTTTGTCACCGTTTTTTATGATGGCCTTCTGCTGCGAGCGAAAGCGATCCAGAAGTCCATGCCTCGCACGAACGAACTTTGCCACACTTTTAGAGTCTTCCCGAACATCAGCAAGACGACCAATCTTCATGGTATCTTTCAATAGCAAGTTGAACCCATGTGATGCACAACCATTGCAGTACACGTAAGGCCTCTTTATCTTTACTTGTTCCCATGCTAACTTCATTTTTTGGCGTTATCAGTGACAACAGCACTAATAGCTCCTTTAGCACCGATAGCGGTCTCCACTGCCACAATGATTCGATCAATACAGTCGGCGATATAAGCGCCGGAGTGCTCTTCTTCACCAGTAGAAATCGAAGACCAGAAAACAGGTTTCATCGTTGGCGAGACTAACATAAAATTCACGATACTTGTATTGTTTGTGTCCGACCAGCCGTCCGTCGACAGCGCCAGGTACTGTTGTTTCTTAAGCTGCTCAACGATGTTCTCCCTGCGCTTTTTGTAGATTGTCTCGAGAAGAGAACCTGTTATTCGATGTCGCGACTGCAAGCGGAACGTTGGACACGCTTTCTGGAAGAAATGTCGTGTCGTTTAACCCCCCCCCCCCCCCCCCATTAGCTACCTTTTGCAAATGTCAAAGTTAGCTTTCTTCGTGGCAAAGATTTCATGTCGAGTAAACATTTACCCGGGGTAGGTGCGGTAATTACCAGTGGTAAATAATTTTCCTGGTAAAAACGGTAATTACCGGTAAGTTAAATCACAACACTACATTGAGCTAATAATTTATGTTTAATTATTGTATTTAGATTAAAAAAACTGGAAAATAATTTAGAATGATTCTCTTATTAGAATGTAATTTTATGTTTTCCAAAGAAACATAAATATTTGCAAGTATTTATTAAAATTATTTGTTCGAATCATTCTTACTGTTAATTTGTAAAAAAATATTATTGTGATTGTCAACTATAAAACCTCGTTTGGCGGTTGCCCATCCCTGTTTACTTAATCCAGGTCTGAATTCAAACCGTTCCCGCCAACGCCGAGGTTTTTTTAATTTGAAGCTTACCTTCCCGAAAGTCAAACTGGCACCACATTTGACTACATGGAAGAAAATTCAGCGCTCTCCCCCGTTCCGCCACTGACAGAGCTTCTTTTCCAATCGACCAATACCGAAGCGGAAGGTAGGTTCATGCCCAATGAGAGCGAAGCGTCTTTTTCCGCCTATGACAAGCTCCGTTCACTCACGTACGTACGTATGTGGCCATGTTCGCCATGCTCTTGATGCGCAGCACCTCAGCACTTTAGCCATGTCAAACGACGGAGACGCCAACGCCAGCAACGCCAACCTGCAGATGCAGCTCCAGCTCCAGAACCAGCGCGCACAGATGCAACAGCAGCAGCTCGCTCTTCACGCTTTCTGGCAGCACCAGATCCAGGACATTTCGCAGATCGACCCCAACGCCTTCGACTTTAAGACGCACCAACTGCCACTTGCGCGCATCAAGAAGATTATGAAGACGGACGAGGATGTGCGTATGATCAGTGCAGAGGCTCCCGTGCTCTTCGCCAAGGCCTGCGAGATGTTCATCCTCGAGCTCAGTCTCCGAGCCTGGATTCACACAGAGGAGAATAAACGTCGTACTCTGCAGCGCAACGATATTGCCATGGCCATCACCAAGACCGACGTCTTCGATTTCCTCATCGACATCGTCCCGCGCGACGATATTAAGCCCGCCAAGAAGGTACCGGTCTTACTATCGGATAAAAATTGCATTATCTGGGTCTAATGATGTTTGTTTTGCTGTGTTTTAGGGTCCTGTGGACGCGCAGGCTGTGTACCAGCAGCAGCTCCAGCAGCAACAGGCGGCCATGCTTCAACAACTTTTGCAGACCCAACAGAACGGCGGTGCGGCCGGCAACGTGACCTGGCCCAACCAGCAATTGCAGCAGCAAATGATCCAGCAATACCAGCGCATGCAGCAGAACGCGGCGGCAGCTGCCGGTGGTGCCTCCACGCCGTCGAACGGCGCCTTGCCCAATCTGTCCCCGTCGGGAAGCGATGCAGCGGGTCAGAGCTCAGCCAACACCACACCGGGAGGAAACAACTCGTCCACGGACCAGCTCTCGCTGAACCAGCGCAGCGTGGATGTATAATTGCTTAAGCGCGGTACAGTTCCCAAGGGCTGACAATCTTGGCATGTTTTTAATGAGCAACTTTACTTTTGGACATTATGTATGGTGACTTTTTACTTCACTGTTGCTGTCAAGAATGTTCATTCGGTTCTGAACCTTATCCTTGTACGCCAGCATTCTGGCGTCATTTGTTGTTCACGTTCGTCTTGCTTCCCTGCTTCGTTCTCCCTCAACTGTAATCTATATCGTCTACTCGTAGTATATCCAAGGCAATGAAAACAAAAAGGTGCGGCTTATTCGGATGTTTTGACCGTTAGCGGCAATGGCAGCATTTTGGACTGCTTTTCCGAGATCTTGAGTAGCTGGTAGGCAGCCACACCACCAATCTGCAAGAAATACAGCCACAAGCAGGAATATGAGAACAAATGTCGAGGTAAAACCCAATTGTATAGGAACGCACCGCGAGAGCCATGCCGAGAATGGACTGGAAAGTGACGGGGTTGCCAAAGTACAATACAGCGCTGAGAATGACGACCACGCGCTTCATCGTACTCATAATGGAGAACGTGAGCTCCGAGACCTCTCCCAGCACCCACGACGAGCAGAAACTGCCGATGAAGTGCATCAAACTGCACATCAAGACTTTGCCGAACGGGAAACTTGCTACGAAGTTGTCCTGGTGAGCACGAGCAGCCATAAGCACGAAGGGCGCGTTGATGGCAAAAGACACGAACGCGCTGTAGAAGTGAAGCTGATTAAAAAAA